TGTGTGTGTGGGGGCTGGTGAATAATTCTCAAGATCTGGTAGACTTAATAACACTTATATTCTTATAACCTTGTCTGCTTTTAACAGCATGGCCTGACTTGCTGATGAAAGTGAGATTTCTTGATTAACATTAAAAAAAAATGCCTTGATTATGTAATCTGTGTGATAAAGCGGGAATGAATGATGCCTTTTTGAAAATAAAATATAATCAAATGCATGCGTGTGGTCATTGGGCCCAGAAGGATAGCAGCATATGCTACATGCCCAGTGACAAGAGAGGGCGTGGGCAGTGCCAGTTTTTTCCTGTTGATGCCACAGACAAATAAAGACGTCCTCATCCAAACCTAGCATTCCCTTGGTGCTCTGTGTTCCCTGTTGGCTCAGTGTTTCTTCTTACATCATCTTCATTCTGTTCCAAGACAAAATAGTTGTGACTCTTTGCTTCACAGGCCTTTTTCTGCCTGAGGAAGTACTGACCATGCCACTAGCGTATAGGATTATTCACCATAAAACTTTTCTTTGTCTAAACTAAAGCTTCCTGTTTGTGCACACTTACATTATTTTGGAGTAAAATTAATGACCACAGTACTGCTAGGTGGGTGTCTAGGTGGGTCCGTTGTAGGTAAGGATGTCCTTTCCCCCAGCAGCTGTCTGGGTCCAGAGCCTCTGGGATGGGTGGGGGGACAGCATGCACCCTGCAGAGGGTGGGTGCACTGAACTGGGGGTCAAGGTTCTGGGAATGTGGAGTGGGGAGCTTCTTTTCTGTGATGAGCTCTCCTAGGCATGCTGCCATTCCCATCCTCGCTGTTATTGGCTACATGCAAGTTAGCCAACCCCAGTATGTTGGGCCTATATATGCAACTAGTGCTCATGCTGGCTCAACTCACCCCACTCAGTCTGGCAATATATTTTACAGATACGTCAATATCAACCAACCTGGCCCTTGAATGTGTTGGTGTGATATGGTGCTGTGGCCAGAACTGAAACCCAACTTTATAATTCATAAACTCGACTAGTATAGCTAAATGGGGACCTGGCACTAAATTCTTCAACTGGGAATGTCCTGGTCACAACTGGAGGGCTTACTGTGTGCCGGCCACTATTTGAAGCACTGTGTGTACGAATTCATTTTTCTCTGTAACTGAATAGGATTGCCTATACCCAAACCCATCAGTGTGTTTACAAATCACCGTTCTCTACTTACTTTACTGACTGGCACTGTGTGCCTGGGCAGCTGCCCATGGAGGGAGTAAAGTCCATGTCATTCATAGCTCCCTCAGACCTGTGTTGCTTGAACTGGTTTGAGAAAGTTTCTGTTCTTTGTAAGTAAACATCACTGACCAAGATAACTGCTAGAAAAGTTAACTGACAATTGCTAACTAAGCCACCTTTCTCCTGAGCAAAGTTTCTGTTCTTTGTAAGTAAACATCACTGACCATGATACTGCTAGAAGAGTTAACTGACAATTGCTAACTAAGCCACCTTTCCCCTGAGCTCTGGGAAGAAGTTGGAAACACACTAATGATTGGAATGGAAATAACGTATATACATTATGAGTAAAGCAGCTTTGAGATTTTTTAAAATTTAGGTTTACAATAAGATCTCTCTGCAATAGACCTTTACTTAAATGCAATCCATTTGCAGCACGGTGGTAAAGGGCCCCTTTTCACGCCCCTCTCACTGACTGGCTCTGAGGCCTTGGGCACGCTACCTCCCCACTCCGACCCTCTGTGTCATCATCAGTTATAACAATGGGACCTGCCATAATGTCATTGGCTTTTTAGCCACGTGGCCTCTGCTCCCCCTCCCTTCTGATAACAGAACCGCAATCACCTGCTGGGGAGTCGCCTCCACCTGGAAGTGCAGTCTTGGGGGCCTTTTCATGAAGGGGGTCCAGCCTCCTCCAGCCAGAAGCTGGGCAGGGTCTCTCCTGCAATTTCAGTCTTGAGTGGAGTTAGGCAAGGACTGAAAATACTTTTTGGTTGAAGCCGTGAGTCTCCCAGGAAGGCTACAATGAACAGACAACTTAGAGAAACTTAATCAGAGTCGGATTCTCTTGCATAAGAAGGTGGGCAGCTCCTGGCATTGGTTCAGCTGCTCAACACCATCTTGGTGGGTGCATGGCATATTCTGGGTCTTTCCCTCATGGTCACAGAGTGACCTCGGACTGCCAGGTCCAAGGCAGGAAGAGGAGATGAAGGGGAAGCTTCAGTTTCCCGGAAAGCTGCCAGCTATTTTCTGGTCATGTCTTCTGGCTGGAAATGCCTCATGGCCACCCCCAGCTGAAAGGGAGACTGGCAAAGCTATTCTGTTTTTCCAGCTTCTATAGGGAAGGCTGTCGGGAATAGGGTTGAAAACAGTCATTGAGAACTGCCAGCCAACTGAAGAGGCCATTGGTTCCCTCCTGCTACCTGGATTCCTAAAGTTGCCCTGGTCTCTGAACCCTCAAAACCGAATTCTTTTTAAAAAAATAAATAAATATTTTTTTATTGATTTCAGAGAGGAAGGAAGAGGGAGAGATAGAAACATTAATGATGAGAGACATTGATCAGCTGCCTCCTACAAGCCCCCTACTGAAGATTGGGCCTGCAACTGGGCATGTGCCCTGACCTGAATGGAACCGTCACCTCCTGGTTCATAGGTCGATGCTCAACCACTGACCCTACAAAACCTAATTCTTAAGCTTTCAGTTCCATAAACTACCTCATTGCCCTCTGTATGAAATCTCCATATCAATCTCTGTGGCCTGTGAGCAGAAAAATTCTGAGAGACTGACCCTCTAAGGGGTACTGCCAGTAAGTGGTGAAGTGAGTGTTAGCTACAGTTGTTTTACCCAGGGTTGCACAGCTAGTTGATGCTGGTTGATGAGACTAAACTCAGCTCTCTCATCTTCCAAGCCCCTGCACTCTCCATTCCACTACTGCTTCTCAGGCTTCAGTCCATTAAAAAATGTGCTTACTCTGCGAGTGCCTGGGAAAACATCCGCCAAGGGAAATAAGAATAAGGGCGGGGCTGCATATTTTTTAGAATGGTTCTTGAAATGGTGGGTGTTGTGAAGGGAAGTAGAAATGTGTGGGCCTTCAGCTCCTGCCCAACACAATGGTGACTTCAGATGAGGAATAAAGACTGTTGGTGCTCCTCACATAGCCAAACCCTTGAATTGTGACACAAACAACTTCCAGTTAGAGCCGGCCTCTGCCAGCAAGAGAAAGCCAGCCAATGTGAAGGTGACCCTGCCCTGAGAGCAAGGGGAACTGGTGGGAGGCTGTAGGAGGGAATGGCCAAGAGGCAGGGAGCTGGGGCCAGCCCATGTGTTTGGAATTCCAGTTCTGATGCTAACCAGTCCCAGGGCCTCAAGCAAGTTACTCAACCTTACACGTGCCTCAGAAAGTGGGGAAAACAGTTACTGCTTAGGTTCGTTGCAGTGAGCAAAGGAGTTAAGACAAGTGCCCTGCTCGCAATAGCCTCTCTGCTTTTGATGTCACTGTCCTCTGCCGGGCAGCAGGTAATCAGCTTCTAGGTGTAGGGCTTGCTAAATTACCTGGAGTGGGTTCAGTTGTCAGGGAGGGACACCCCCTCCCCTGCTCCACTGACCTCATCCATTTGCCAGGGCTTAATGGTGAATTAAGGAATCCACATAAGACTGTTTAATAATCATAGTCACCTACTATGTGTCCCAGGAGCACCTACTATGTGTCCCAGGTTTTCCTTATACATGTTTTCATCACCTGCATCAACTTTGTGTGGTAGATCTTGCCTTCATTTTATGGCTCAGAAAACAGATTCCAAGAGCTGACACGACTTTCCCAGAGTCACAAAGAGTCCTGGATTCAAACATGACTTTTGTCTTCGTATGTTCAGGCTGCTGTAACCAAAATCCCATAGACTGGGCGGCTTAAGCAAGAAACATTTATTTCTCACGGGTCTGGTGGCTGGGAACTCCAAGATCAAGGCTCCAGCAGATTTGGTGCCTGGTGAGAACCCATTTCCTGGTTCATGGATGACGGTCTTCTCACTGCACCCTCACATG